AGTTCCCCCATTGGGGGGAGATGGGCAGTTGAAAAATTTAATAAATAAATAAATAAATAAAACTCAGCCTCCCCTCTCCCATAGTACTGTGGCCAATGAGCCCTGATGAAATATTTTCTGGCTCTGTTCACACACATTATTAACTAGGTCAAGGAGAGGTTTGGGTATGATGCGAATGCTGTTACATAGTCAATCTCCAAAACTAACCTGGAGGAGTTAATTTTAGCCCCAAACTGCCCTGGAGCTAAAGCAACTCCTTCCAATGAACTATGTCATGCTTTCAGAACCTTAAAAAACAGAGTTTCTCTAAACACTCCATCTCCATTTCCATCACTTCTTTTTATGTCTCACCTGTTCAGTTACCTGAAGGACAGGGAACATACAGGTGTTGGGGAAGAGGTGCTACACTTTTCCTGTTGTTACCAGAAATTTTAAAAAGCCAGTTCATGATAGCCTACCAGCTTGGGGGGGAGGGCTTCAAAAATGGCCATTACATGACGAATGGAGTCACCTACATTTATGTGGTGCCAGTAGACAGGGTTGAGTTAACTGTCCCAGGGAGCAGCTGGCTTAGTCAGCAATGTCACCTGAACACAACTTCCATGATTAGAAAATAGAGCTGACAATCATACAGTTCCATTCCAGTCTCTTCCAGCTTTCTATATATTTACAATATATAGAAACTGAAGCTAAAAGTAGAATTGTTTGAGACTAGCTTTGTTCAACAGACACAGCATCTGCCTTTCTGTAGTGTTCCAAAGCACTGAATCATAGATAAAATGTTGTGATGATTCCCCCTTGGTTTTGATCACTTTGGAAAGATTATGAAGCATTATGCTCAGAATTTTTCTGAACTTGGTACACCTGAAATAAACATCATGGCTGACTCAACATGAGGACAGGTTTTCTAGTTTGTTTTTCATGAATACCATGAACCTCCTACTTATCTAAGGAAAGTATGTCTGCTTATCATTGATGCTTCTGTTGGTGAGGCAAATGAAAGTTCTGTCTTGTCCACCTTGGCCATCATGAATATAAAAGTAAAGCATATGATATTGTCACTGCACATTCCAATTAAGTATTGCTTCTGATGGAATCAAATGGCCTTTTTGCACTTGGACTATAATCTGAAGACTATTCGATTCCATCAGAATTAAAAATATTATAAAAGGTAAAAATGCCCTCACTTTGAGCTCAAGTCCTAATAATTAAATCAGTATGCAGTTTTCTTGGCACCAATATGAAGGTGATTTGTTATTGTCTTTTTCTGGAATGTTTTGATTTCCCAATCTAGACAACAACCTGGTATTCCCTGGACATTTCCCATCCAAGCACAGACCTGGTCCAGTCCTGAATAGCTTCCAAGTTACCCGCTGAGACATAAAATATTAGAAACAGTTATCAGGAGTTATCACCTTATAAAAGGTGCAGGAAAAACAGGACTTTGGGCATTAGAATAGATTTTCTCTTTTTTTCTCCCTCTCTTAAATACTTAGCAATCAACTATCACTTTTCTGAAAAATCTGACAAAGAATTGAGAACTATATACTGGTGTAGGCTTTCACAGTTGGCATCAATGAAACAGTGATGAGCTTTTGGGATGAATGGCCATGGTCTAGTTTCCTATGGCTTTCTCAGCCCAAAAACTCATCACTGCTTGATTGAGAAGTATGTTTATTAAAAAGAAACACAGGAAGAGACAAGAGGAATGAACATAGTGTTGACACTAACATTAAACCTAACCCTAACCTTTTCTAGATCTCTGGACTGAACTTCAACAACTTTATATGAAAACTCCAAGGTGCCCAAATTCAGCCCAGAGAGGCCCCCACCTCCTTTAATGTAGTTCAAAATCAATCACAGGACAGAATTCCTGTACATTCAATTAAAAGCAGGGCCTATCCTTAAAAATCAATTGCATCCTAATTGTAAACATCTAGGAGGGAGGGAGGATCTGTCTGGCACACAGGTAGAAAACCAGATTATTTTTCTAGTTTGTGGAGCAGTTATATAATTTTACATTCTTGATCCAATTGCCTTATTGGACTCCTCCTCTTTAGAGGTTAATTTAGATTACTTCCTTACATTAACGTGGGTAAATCAGCCATGCTTTGTCCGAAGCTCTCCTATTTATTCTGCAGAACAGAATCCTGGACATCTGTCCTGCAGACTTGCTCTGAACACAGCACTGTATTTCCTCAAATACCTGATCATTCTGAAATGGAAAAAAAGATCTTGGTTCCCCTTCAGATCAATCTACTTAGAGGTCCAGGGTCAGCTTCGTTCCTCTCAAGGGTTTAACCTGTGAATATGAAAGCTGCTTTGATATTTGGGCTTTTACACATATTGCCAGCACAGCCTTCCCATCAAAAGTTGCCATTAAGGTTTCTCCTCGCCTTTGGGCATGCCTGGGCAGTCTAGAACGATTCTGCAGCACACATCATGCATATTCAGGAGGACCATAGGGAATGTTTTATACTGACAGAGAGAAATGTGTTTGCCATCTATGGAGATGGGCACATGTGCATAGCATATGTTCTGCTTCCAACTGAGAGCACCCTCTCTACCTGTTATCCACTCCTTTTCACACAGCAGGGTCACCATCCTAGACTCTGCATCTGCAGATCAAAGATACACGGGCTTGGCCAAGCCTGCAAGTGGCTGCCAGCTGGACTGCTTACAGGAGGGGTCAATGTCAATGTACGGTGAAGGCAAGGCAGTCTAACTAGGGTGATAGTTAGATCACTTTCAGCCCCATTGTTTAGGCTGTTTTTTTCCTGCATAAGTGTGTGTTCCTGCATCATCATCATTGATGTAGCCCACTCTGTCTCTCCTCTCCCCCTTCCCCCGCCCAGCATGCTCTCTGTTTGATCTTGTAGTCTCTTGGAGTTCCTGTCTAACTGGTAGGGATCATCATTTCTGGTATAAAGTGCAGGCCAAGCAAGGCCAAAATAATTGCCCTAACTCAAAATGCTACAGCTGGCAGGCAGTCATACAAATACAGTTCTAGCCGTTATACACAAATGAGTGATGGCCTTACTTCCACTGCTGTTGCGGCTGCTGCTGCTGCTTGGATAAGCAATATACCATCTCATGCTGCATGGGGAGGTCACTGAGATGCTCCTTGCCAACTTCAGGCAAGCAGAAGGAAATCTCTTCTCAGACATCAAAGTGAGGCCCTGGCAAGAATGATTCCAGCAGTTTAAAAGGGAAGTCATTCTAAAAATAGGAGAAGGGGTTGTGAGAATGGATGACACAGAAGAGAATTGCTATTCTCTCTCATTATCCTGGTTCTAAAAAGACACAAGAGACAAGAAGAATATGCAAAGTGAAGAATAATAGAAAAATAATACATGTTAACATGGGGAAATATTCATTGAAATAAAACCAGATAGATTCACATACCATTACATATCTGTATTAAATAATTGTATTATGTTTAATGGTGGTGTTTATTCATCTCTGGAGTTTTATTAAGGGGACTAGATGACTGACCCAGGTGATGAACAAACATACATAAAGCAAATTGGAACATAGAAATTTCATTTGTGCAATGAAATGCCCAAATCTTTATTTGCTTAATATTGTGATTTCTTATAATAATTATTATCATTTAAGTTTATTATCATTACATTATACTTTTAAAAATAAGAATGATAATAGTCAGTATTTTAAGTACTGCATCATCCAATCTGAAATTAATCATTCTTAAAGCTGAACTGCAGCAAAGGATGAAAATTATGGCAGCTGATTAGAATTCTGATTCAACTCTTATTTTTGATTCTCTTTTGACCATTGACAATTTAGCTTTATGATATCCATAATGTATTATGACAGTATCAGTATTTCTTGGCCTAGAATCTTGAAATGTAAGAACCCTTTACGGAGAGCAGGCAGAGAGCTAGATAAGACAGAATTAACTGCGGATTTCACTACTACAATATTGATAATGGCCACCAATTTATACAGTTAGAAAAAAGCTGTTTTCTACTGCCTAAATCATAGGCAGCATACTTTAAATATCAGTTGCTGGAGAGCAACAGTAGAAGAGGAATATTACCTTCTTGTCCATATGATAAATGTCTTAAATGTATCTTGTGCATGGTACAGAATTCTAGCTTAGATAGGCCTTTGGTCTTATCCAGCAGAGCTTATCTTATATTCCTATAAAATAAAAATAGGTTTAGCTAGCTGTACCACTCTCAGCAGTAAATCGCATATATGATACTTAAAAATTGAGCCATAGCCTACAGCTATTCAATTTTTGGGGATGTACAATTGTGCGTGTGGAGAGTGAATATTATTTGCTTTAATCTGGGGTTGGCAACTTACATCCTGGCTCCTGTTTGGGCTTGGTTTTTTTTTTTTGGATGAAATAGTAGTAGCACTACTATTAATTTTCTTTATCATGCATCTATACGTGCAGGAGAAATGTGGGATAAAAAAATAGTGCTGTAACATACTGCAGTCAACCATAAAAATAATGACAACATGTGAAGGGAAGAACATGATATGATGGCATCAGCTGGTGGAAGGTGGGAGTTGCAGATCAGGATAGGCAAGGAGATGGTAAAAGAACATTTTAGCTAATGTAAACCAACTCAAGTCTCCAAGACAAGATGAATTGTATTCTACAGTACTGAAGAAAGGAGCAGAAATGTTTGTAGAACTGCCAGCTGTAAACTTAAGAAATTCTGGAGAACTGGCTAGATTTCAGAAGACTGAAGGAAAGAAAAGAAAAGGTTGTTCCTATCTTCAAAAAAGGGGACCCTGTAAATTACAGACCTGTTAGCTTGATGTCTCTGCTGGGCAAGGTCCTCAAAGAGATAATTCATTATCATATTTGTCAGCACTTGAATATGAATGCAACAGTTCACAAGAGCCAGCACGGGTTTTTCACAAACAAGGCAGGCCAGATTAACCTCATCTTCTTTTTTGACAGTTATTACCTTAATGGATCAGGGGAATGCCATGGTCATGGACCCAGATTTCAGCAAAGCATTCAACAAAGTCTTTCACCACAACATGGTACCAGTCATTGCTTATCTAAAAGGTTATCATACTGAGGAGGGAATGGACTTGTTCTCGGTTCCCCCAGAGGACAGAACCTGAATAAGTGGGTTGAAACTACTGGAAAATAGATTCAGGATAGGTATTAGAAGGAATTTCCTGATGGTTCAAACTGTCAATCAGTGGAACAAATTGCCTCATGAAGTGGTATGTTCCCTTTCGCTGGAGGTTTTCATTTCATTTGTCTGAAATGTTTCAGCAGATCCTGCACTGAGCAAGGGATATGATTAGATGACTTTTGGGATAGCTTCCAATGCTTTGATTCTGTGTTTCATGAGCAGCATTTCTTCCTTCAGATGATGATGATGATGATGATGATGATGATGATGATGATGATGATGATGATGATTTGCCTTTGAGTCAGTTTGACTGCTGGTGACTGCCTGGATTAGTCCCTCCAGTTTTCTTGGCAAGGTTTTTGGAAGTGGAAGCTGAGAGAGAATGACTGTCCCAAGGTCACCCAGCTGGCTTTGTGCCTAAGGCAGGACCAGAACTCTCAGTCTCAGTTTCTAGCCTGATGCCTTGATCACTACACCAAACTGCCTCTTTTCAAGTTATTAACTAGGGCTAAACAAAGTACTGTTTTTGAAGGAGGTGCTTCATAACACACAAGAGCACAATTGATGCATTTCACTTCAAATAGTGGAAGTAGCCTCATCATTGGAAGACCTGAAATGACTCCTTCAGAAGCAGTCCACAGCTTATCTCCACATGTGTGCACACACAGCCAGTTTGCTTCACTTTCTGCAAAGGGTGGCTGCTTTAACTGTTCAAAGAAAGGTGCTTGATTTGTGCTTGCGTGCATTGCAAAGCACCACTTTCCAATGTTCTGCACAACTGTGCTGTTTGAACCTCCTGAAAGAACACCTGTCTGTGTATAGCAAAGTGATACTGATTGCTTCTTCTCTAATGTGGATTTCTTGGTGCTGATCTCCTCAGGTTTGGTTTCAGAACAGAAGAGCAAAATGGAGAAAACGAGAGCGATTTGGTCAAATGCAACAGGTTCGCACGCATTTCTCCACTGCCTATGAGCTGCCTTTGCTGACTCGAGCAGAGAACTATGCCCAGGTAAGTGCTTTTCATCAACACACCTATCATGAACTTCTGACAGTTTTATCAGAAGTTCTGTCATAAACCAAATGAGATATTGTTAGGTGAAATGAGAGTTTTAAGGTTCAGGAAATTAATGCTTTAACCTTTTCTGTTTGTAACAATTATGAAATTCAGCACAATATGGAGAAAAGCAGAGGTAGTTTGGAAAATATGCTACCCATTTGCAGACCTAAGCTGATTGATTGATTGATTGATTGATTATGTATCATCAAGTTGGTGTCAACTCTTAGCTATCATATAGATAGATTTTCTCCATAACAATCTATCCCTAACCTGGTCCTTCAGATCTTCCAACAGTGCACCCATGACACTGCAGCTGAGTCCATCCACCTTGCCTCTGGTTGTCCTCTTCTCTTTCCTTCCACCTTTCCCATCAGTACAGCCTTCTCCAGAGAGCTATCTTCTCATAATATGTCCAAAGTATTGTAATTTGAGCCTGATCTTTTGTGCCTTGAGTGAGAACTCTGGGTTGATTTGTTTGATGATCCATTTGCTTGTTTTCTTGTCTGCCTAAGCCCATTACTTAGGAAGAAGTCCATGAAATTCAGTCATATGATCTGATTTACCTTGCCATGTTACCACTAGCCCATCTTATGAATTACTTAATCAAAGAAAGACAGACTGCACTAAAGAGTGGTAACATGAAAATATGTCACAACCTATCTTCAGACTCTACAGGCTATCAATTTTCGGGCTGCCCATATTGTATCCCAATTTTTTGAAAGGTGGGGTGATGGGTCTGTCTTAGAATCATACCAAGAAGTCTTTAATGGCAACATCCATAATATGGCATAATCCTCTACTAGTAATCCTTCTGCAATGTGCCGCCTGGAACATTTACTGGAATGTTTAGCAATGCCAGAAGTTCTTTGGCAGATAAATTAACCTTAATACTCCCTGAATAGAAATTCTGAACTTTTTAAAAGTAGTGCAGACCTATCAGTTTAGCAATCTTTTGACTTCAAAAGAGTTCTTTGAGGAAGGTCATTACATAAAAAAGACCTTTACTTCTCAGCCAGAGAATACTTTAGGTAACATTCTGGGCTGCTTTTCCCTCCTCTGTCTCTTTCATATTTTGGTTTTACCTAATGTTTAAGCTAGTTACCATCTGCATGAGACATGTTGCAGAAGTGAATTTCACAAGTGAATGATGCCAAAAAATATATGAAACTGTTTTTCAAACTCTACCAACTACATATATCTTAGACAGAAATATTTTTTACATTTATAATCTTGTACATCATTCTTATCCCCAACTTTGCTGTTAAAATGAACATCAAATTAGATAGGTTTTCTGGTCTGTTTTTTAAAACAGCATATTTTTATGAAGACGATAGCAAGCCGAGGTGGAGTTTCAGTATTTTTTCTTCACCATGATTCTAACTGAGATTGACTGCCCCCAAATTATAATCACTATTCCTTGAAAGGAAATATCTGGCTTCCCTGCATCCTGAAATTTCACAAATGCTTTCTTTCAATTCCTGGAGTTTAAGCTCACAAATATGTCGTTGCTAATGGCCCTCAAAATCTCCCTCCTCATCTCCAAGCCAAAAGACCCTTAACTTTTTTAGCTTTTCCCTAATAAGGGAAACATAATATCCTGATCATTTTAGCTGTCGTTTTTGAACCTTCTCCAGCTGCATAATATCATCCTGTTTGAGATGATAGCAACTAAAGTTATACTTACAGTGACCATATTTTTTTGGAAAAATAAAGGACAAACCTGAAAGGGGGGCAAATCTGCAAGAGGTTCATAAAGATTAAAAAAATTGTTTATGTTTATAATTTTGCTTTACAAAGGAAAATTCAAGAGCAAAACCAAGACAAAACTATACAAAAAGCATTTTCTAATAAAAATATCTAAAAAGCATAGAAAACCATGAAGTTATAAGAAGCAAGTATTAAAAGGGATTTTTGCAATCAGACTGTGCATTAAGTGGTACCATTTGTATGGTAAAAATTAAATGACCAAAATAAAGGACAAAGGTGAGTTTCTGAAAAATAAATACATCTAAAGGGCAGCTTTCTGAAATAAAGGACATATGGTCACTGTAGTTCTACTTCATATTGTAAAAGAGGTAGAATTATCAATGTATATAATGGCATCAGGATTCTTGCCATTTTGTGGAGCTTATTTTCATCGCCTTTGAGTTTTATGCTACTGCTTCTTGCAATACCGGCCACTTATTTGTAATCTGCCAGAAGTAAAGGTCAGAGCAGAGCCAGAGCAAATGATGATGAAAGGCTGAGAAATGCAGGCCTGCTAGAAAACTGTTTTTTCCTACTCCCCATCTGGATCCTCTCCTCTTGCATTCTTTCATCTTACGCTCTTCTCTTCTTCACACCTCCCACTCTTCCTCTCCCCTCCTTTTGTGCATGTTGAATTGGACTTCACCGATCATTAGTTATTGTAAGAATATTTCCCTTTCATAACCTAAAAAAAGTGTGGTGGGGGCAAAGGGGTGCTAGAGTATGAATTGTATTATGGTTTCTAAAGGGTTACTTAGCCTTTGTTATTCTTTTGCAGCAAAAAAAACCCCACAAAGAGTTATGTGAGTCCTGACCTATACATGTAGTAACGCATAAGCTATTGTGGATCACAGTCCACTTCATCAGATTGGTGGGGGGTGGGAAGAAGAAGGGGAAAAATAAGGCTGATGAACTCTCACCTCCCCAAACAACAGTTGTATGTTTTTATAAATACTCTTTTGTCAGAAGTATGCTTCTAGAAAGGTAGAGGTCTCAAATCTCTTCTTCCATAAGCCCTTGAGGTCATCTTCCCCCCTTGCTTTGGGGTAGCAGCTAGGTAGTTCCCACTGCCACCACCTATCTTCCACCATACAGCTTCTCACCTGGCGCCTCCCCCTAACCTTGGTGTATGAGAAAGGCAGATCTGTCATACTTTGTGCTACCTTTCTGGTGATAAAATGGTAAAAGTTGAGTTGGGGGTGGGGAGGGAAATGGCCCTTCCTTGGGAGACAAACCAGTTTCAAAATCCCCCCTTTTAACTTTAAATATCCCCAATGCACACATTCAATAGTGAAGGAGATGAAGTACAGCACTGTTCAGATTATAGAAATACAGCAGGTTGATTAAAAAAATAAAATCACAAAAGTGTAATGCATCCAGCAGATCCTAAGAAACTACTGTTCTACTATAAATAGGATTTCTCTGTCCAAAGTCTCAGCAAAGAGATGGGAAAATACCATTCATTTATTTATTTTCAAATGTGTATGGCCGCCCAATTCTATAACAATTCTGGGTGGCATAAACTATTAAAACAACTTGAAATAATAAAGAACAGAAAGGAGTGACAAACATCCAGGAAAAATAAAATGAGCACAGCCTTCAACTGAAAACATACCACAAAGTAACTTTAAAACATATCACAGGGTAAAAAAATGTAGATCTTCTGGAACATACCTGAAGTATGATTCAGAACAGAATCTCCTGCTTTATATAGAAACATAAAAAGCAGTGAATCCTGGTTTAGCCCAAGCACAATAAAACAGAAATTAAAGACCTATCTCATTTGTCTAGTCATTTACCTATTTCTTCCAACAGTAGTAGACTTTCTGAAGTGAAAGAATCCTGTATCCTTCCTATATTTCTTTTCTTCCTGAAAATTCCAGACTTTAATCTGAGGCCGATGGGAGCATTTGTCCCATGTTCTCCCAGCCTCCATTCCCAGCTTCTCCTGTTTCCTCCTCAGGTTTGCTGGTCACTGACCGAATAAAGATCTGTTCTGTTCTCTTCCACAGTTCTACCTTTGTATTTTTAAAAGATTCAATTTTTTTATTCTTGGAATTAGGGAGGAGCTGGGGTATCTCTCTGTGTCTACTTGAAAAAAAAGCCTTCTCATGGAAATGTGTATTTTGTGTCTGAGCTACAGGCACAGCAGAAGGGAAAAGAGAGAGAGGGAGAGAAAAAGAGCAGTGATGGCTCCTGTTGGAGAAATACCCTGAGAATCCCACTGCCCCCCAGTGCCTTTCTCCCTTCTCAGATCCATTCCTCTATTCAATCAGGACATGGATTAAAAGTTTCCAAAACTTTATTAAGAGTTGGCAGATTCTTGATCAAACACGCAAGGACATGTTAAGTAACATCCGCAGATGAAAGACATATACATACAAGCAAGCTTATACAGGTAGTCCTCCCTTAGTGACCACGATTGGGACCCACAATTCTGTTGCTAAGTGATGCAGTCACTAAGTGGAAAATCACGTGACCATGACAGACTTATGACATCACTGCCCATTCAGTCGTTAAGTGAATCACTGCATTTAAGCAAAACATCACATGACTGTGATTTACAATTTTACTTCTGCATTCTCCATTAACTCTATCGTAAGCTGGTTGGAAAGCACGCAAATGTCAATCACATGACTGCAGGATGCTATGACAGTCCTAAATGCGAGGACTGGTCACAAAGCTGTTTTTTTACTCCATCATAACTTTGAACAGTCACTAATGAGGCAGTTGGTAAATGAGGACTACCTGTATAGTCAATTTCACACAAGGCCTTTCAAACTGTGCAGTGGCATTGGCTAATCCGCATTTGGTCATTTACATATTTCTGAGCAAGTGGGAAATCCCCCCCAAGTTTGCCCATGTGTATAATAATGGCATTTCTATAGTAACCCACTATAGCACTTGCCCTGTTTCTATGGCAGCTGTTTCACGGTGTGGTGTGTAGTTCTACCACAACCAGATTGCACCCTTGCATCTGGGTAAGCAATAGCGGTGTTTGCTTATCTATTCTGTGCTGTTGCATCCTAATACTATAATGAAGTCTGTTTGACTAAGGCTAAACCTGTTTATTAGGACTAAATTCCCCCTGAATTCCCAAATTCCTCTGGGTTCATCCATCTCTTACACCCTCAACACTAAAGAAGACTCTTACATGCTTCTCTTATTACACTGGATGGGGCTGGCTTGACTGAGCAAGAGAGATGTATTAGAGTAAGTGCACAATCCATCCACACCTTTAGGAAGGCCCTGTTCTTTGCCTTTGTAGCATGGGAGGAGCCAATACGAACTAACTGGTGTCTTTCCTTTCCTTTCCTTTTGTTTTCTTTCTTTCCTTCCCTCCCCGCTCTGCTCCATCTCAGATACAGAACCCTTCCTGGATCGGCAACAACGGTGCTGCCTCCCCTGTGCCTGCCTGTGTAGTGCCCTGTGACTCGGTGCCCTCCTGCATGTCCCCCCATGCTCATCCCCACTCCACTGGAGGAGTCTCCGAATTCCTGAGCGTCTCGGGTCCCGGCAGCCACGTGGGGCAGACACACATGGGCAGCCTCTTTGGCAGTGCCGGCATCAGCCCCAGCATCAATGGTTACGAGCTGAACGGCGAGCCCGACCGCAAGTCTTCCAGCATTGCAGCCCTGCGGATGAAAGCCAAGGAGCACAGTGCTGCCATATCGTGGGCAACATGACAGGGCTGCCGCTTTTGCCCTCGAGAAACGGACAACTCAAGCAGGACCGTTGACCCAAACCCTCCGCTCTTGGACTTGGGGCAGTGTGCGCCCTCCTCAGAGGTCTGAATGCAGCACTTTTCGCTTCCTTAGGGATAATGGCATTGTGCATATTGCCGTATTTGGAGTGTTTTAAGCATGTAGGCCTGTTTTCCCCCTCCCCAGGAACAGGAATGTGGAAGCCAAGGGGGGATGTTTCTCCTGCATCAGACAAACTTGAGTTTTCTACTCCCCTCATGCTGTGGTTCTCCTGATTGCCAGTTTGCCGTTCCTGCTCTATCTAACATGAGAGCTGCCTCCCACCAAGGCTTCCATCATGCAATTGTTTGCCTTTTTCACAGAATTACCAGGTGGGGGGTAGGATTCCAGAGAGTGCTATCTTTCTTTTGAAATCCTGTATTTTCCCATGACATTCACATTCTCTCTCTCTCTCTCTCTCTCTCTCTCTCATTTTTGACTACAGAAAGTCTTTTAAAGAGGGGGAGAAGAAATAGCTGCATGGGCTCTCTTGACTGGTAGCATTAGGAGCTATCCATCTGGAAGTTCATCTGATCTCTCTCTCTCTCTGTCAAACAAACAAACAAACAAACAAGAAAACAAACAAAGACCAGCCCACAATGTCTGGCTAAATGCTCCCATGTGAGCTCTTTTTAATCCATCGTATTTTAATGTAACAGACAGGTTTATGATCCCTAGCAACAAAGCATGTGGTTGCTATCACTGCAGATGGCTGGTGCCAAAGCCTGGGAAGAATGGGTCTATTCTGAGTAGAAGGTGTCCTGATTCAGGTATTTATAGCAAAGTTGCCATACTGCAGCTGGAAGTTGGTCCACACCTTATCTTCCACATGAATTGTGTGAGTTGCTGAGTTGCTTTTTGTAATTTTCCTTTTATCCTGTTATTTTCCTCCCTGCCACCCCTTCAATCTCCTGTTCTATCCAAGGGGTGCAGCAATGAAGGCATGAGTCAACCATGGGTTCAATGAAAAGCAAGCTAAGAATATACTGTCCCTAAACAGAAATTACAAAGAGAAAGGTTTGTCCCCATGGTGTCACTTTGTAGTCATAACCCCATGAGCTAATTCAAACAGCAAGCCAAGGACTCCTGGGCTGGTGTAATCCAAATCAACATTTTTTTAATCTGGTGCCTAGTATTTGGAACACTTTGGTACCACTTCCCCATCATACAAACACGTTTATTGCAACATCAACAAATCAGTTGTGGGAGATGTTATCCATAAATTAAGTGCTACCTAACCATAGCCTGATGATTGGTTTCAATGAAGAACAAAACTGGGAGAAATCTGGGCAATAAAGGAAAATGTCTCCCTAATTTCCTGCACTGGTCTGCTCTTGCAGTACACTCAGTTCTGAAAGAAGACCAATTTATAGGATTTTCTCTTCTTAGACTGATATTTCATATACAAGCTTCTGGATAATAACTAGAGAGCTCCGTGGTTCCAAAGGGATTGTAGGAAGACTGCCGTGGGCAATAACCCACTTCAAATACTGCCTTTCTGGTGTCCCTATCAAATTATTCCTTCTTTAACACCAGCTCCTTCCAAATCAGTGGAGATAACTCAAAGGCCTATCTTGAAGAAATAAAGCAAGAGGTTTTTTTTCCTTAGCTGGAAATTCTTTTGCTTTCCCCCCCAAAGCCAAGTAGCAGACACAGGCCTGCCTCATGTTGTTCCCATTCATCAGGATAATGGCAACTTCCCAATTTCCACATGTTTGCCCTCTTTAAAAAAGAATCAAAGAGGATTTGGGTCCAGCCAGCTGAGATTCTTTTCAAAAAGCTGAAATGGTGCTTGGGTTTTGTGGTTTCTCAAACAACAATTCACATCCACTAGAGGAGAGAAACTTAATGCTTGAAATCGTCTAACTGGTGTTTAAGAGGTGTTTACTGGGTTAGTAACTACTGATCTTTCCTTTTCTGGCGAGCAGTGGCTCTGCAGACTTTATAATTCAGATAGATTTGAATGGGCTTCAGAACAAAAGCAGGCCTTCCAGGGCATGAGCGCCCACCAGCATTCTGACCTGCAGGTGGCCACAGAGTCATGAACGTGCACATACAATTCATCCTGGAATGGGAAGCCTACAGCTGGGCACGCCTGTCAAGAAACACGTGTACCACAGCAAGCACATAGAACCCCAGAAGGAGAGAAACCCGTGGCAAATCTGAAGAGCGAGCAAGAGAGAGGATGCATTCAGTTTATAAGAATGAGGTAGAACGTACTTGAGGGTTACTCCCCTTCCCACGTACGTTCTTAACCCCAGCACCTCGGAACATTTCTTAGGAGCCCCAGTACTTCTGACTAGCTATGGTAATAAGTCTGCCTATAGCATGCAGAGGAAAAAGGCCTACACTTTTTTCCTTTAGGGAAGAGAGACCAGAAGCATTTTGCAAGTCAAGAGCCACGCTGACTTATAGGAAACTTTATGAAGTCTGCATGGCAAACATGAGTAGATTTGCTGTGATGATGACGAAGAAGAAGACCCCCTCACAGTCTTTCTTTCATACAGACCCACATATAACATTCTCACACATCAGACATTTGTTCACAATTTTTGCACGTAACACACACCAATGCACATGTAATACAGATGCATTTATTCTCATATATCCTGAAAATGCCCCTAGGGTGCTGCAAATAGGCTTTGAGGAACAAATATGACTAAAGCCATGCTTTAACTGTAGCATTTTCCTAATAGCAGTTAAAGACCATTAAAAGTTAACTTTAACTGTTGCGTTTTCCTACAAACAGTTAAAGATCATTGAAAAAAATCTGGTAAATACTTTTAAATTCCATTGGAATCAGTGGGAATGCAAAACATCATTAGACTTGTTGCCCTGTGGGGTAAGTATGAAGAAAATGCAGTAAGATATCAATAGAAGTGCTACCTTCAGAAAGGCATTTAAGGTGCTCCTAGAATAAGAATGCAACACTTTTACACGTTATGCTGTGTATAAAGATTGTAAAAAAAAACAAAAAAACGTGTTTGCTTTGTACCCCTTTTAATCTATGAAATCAAGATTGAACAATCCCAGGCAGTGATCACTACCTCCCATGACCGGAGAACATTGAGCCATCAAATGATTTTAAGGCTATCCTTGAGAATTAGACCCTGAACTCTCAAGCAAGGGATGACATGATTGTATAATAGACATGATCCATGTCTAATCATGTTTTTGTGTTCCTGAGTGTGCATACCTAGGAAAACACATTTATGTGCATGCTGGCTCCAGGCATGTTTATTATATAACAGCTAAGTTTGCCATCTTTTAGGTGAAGGAGAGGATTGCTCATAACAGGGAGATAGTGTACTAGCTCTCTCCAATGTTCTTTGTTTTCAGTTGGTAAAAGAGGACTGGAAATAGAATCATGCAGCTACTTTAGCTGTTCATGCTAAGTCAGCAGCCCCTAAAACTGCCATGTAGTTGCACGGGACTTTTCAAAGGCCTAAAGCAGGCAAAAATATTTTTGGCTAAGTTTTTTTACTAGCTGTTCATCTCATGTCAATGTCAATTCCCAAGTGGCTTTGAATGTGAATGGTTCAAGTGTACATCAGTAACATATACTTCAGAAGGTGTTTCAGGATCTGTATCATGTTCAACCCAATATAGTACTGTATGTATCAATTCCTTGAAAAACCAATGATGGAATAAGCCATTGTGTTAAGTCTCCTCCTTCCTCTCATTAGTAGGCAGAATTACCTAGGGCTGTTTTTGCCCCTCACTCCATGCCACTGGCTGACAGTGGTGGATGGACAAAGAAATGGTATGTTTACATATGAGAAACATGGGAAGAGGAGGAAAAAGCAACATAGGATTACCATGGGGGGTTGTGTGTGTGTGCACATGATATCAAACATAGCATTTACCTGTACTGTAACTTCAGTGGAAACTTTTTGTTGAAATGCATCCTAAACAAGAGAATTCCATTAATAGGCACAGCACAAGAGTTGAATACTGGTAGCAAGCACCAGAGGCTTTTTGGATGCCTGAACAGTAGCAGTTGGTCTTCAATTGCCAAGCTAGAACCCAGGAAGTTGTGTGCAGGGAGCAATCAAGAAGACATTTCCTTGGGGGATAAGGAAAGGTGGGCGTACCCTGTTTTCCATTCCATTGGTAAATGAGTTGCTGGTCAAGGCAACACAGCATGGGCTAAATGAAGGGGGTTATTTTTTTTTCCTTTTTTCTTTTACAGGGCATTCCTGTATCTTTTTTCCCCCCCTTCACTCCTTTAATAATTTTGCCTTGTCTCATCATACACCAAGGTTTCATTGCAAAGCATTTTGAAAACAAACAACAGTGAAAAAAGGTAGTTTCCTGGAAAATGGTTTGAAAAAATAATCAGCAAGACACAGCTGCTGAGAACTTTGTTTATTTTGCTGCTTTGACTGACACAGGAAAAAAGCAAATGTTTGTAATTTTTTTTCAGAAAAAATCAGCCCAAATGGAACCTCGATGAAAGCTTTTTCACGGCTTTCAGCTTCATGGCTGGTATTACAGGGAAGGCAAGGTGTGGCCCATTTCATCCTGCCCCAACTCTTGACAGCAAATTGGGGGTAATCTGCTATCCAGTCCTCCTTCCACAGACATAGATAGTGCTAGGACTTTCGTACTACTGATCTTGAAGGGCAGTTTTCAATGTGTAATAATATATCTGTTTTGGGGTGTGCAGTGACTGACAGGGAGAATGGGAGAAAAAAAATCATAAGAAAAGAAACCTCAGTCAATTGCATTGTTGTAAAATATTGTAACCTTGTATAAATGCAACTTTTTTTTTTCCTTTAGCTTTATGGCCTGAGGCAGAATATATTAAAATATACATTCAAAAAATGTTGATGAATAAAGCAATGGATTGGGAGGAAAGCCTACAAAATTGCAGTGTGAGGTTGTGCCATACAATGTTACTGCCTATACAGATATGTACTGCGAATTCATTACATTGTAAT